CCTAGAATGGCCTTCCTCATTCTGTGCAGCTATTTAATACCTACTTGTCTTTCCAGACTCAGCTCAAGTTTCTTGATATAGATTCCCACATTCCCCACTGGAAGGCAAATGCTCCTCTTCACTCTGTGTTGAGTTGATTTTGGAGATCTAGTCTCCTCTTTGAAGGTGTGGATACTTTAAAAAGACAATCATTAGCCCTGGCTGGCATAGGTCAGTGGATTGAGCGTGGGCTGCGAACCAATGTGTCACAGGTTTGATTCCCAGTCAGGATACATGCCTGGGTTGCAGGCTATGACCCCCAGCAACTGCACATTAATGTTTCTCTCTCTCTCTCTTTCTCCCTCCCTTCCCTCTCTAAAAATAAATAAATAAAACCTTAAAAAAACACATCTAAAAAAAAAGACAATCATTGTCTAGTTCCTCTGCCTCTGAAGCCTTGCATAACTTCTGCCCCTTCACACACAATCAAAGCCTCTTTGTTCAATGAAAAAAAAATGAATAAATAAAACAAGTAAGTCAGTAGCCCAGACTACCTCCCTTACGAGTTTTCTAATTTTATTTGTGTGACTATTTTCTTGGCATGCCCCTCTCTACGAATCTCAAGTCCAATGCTTTCAATATTGAAACAGTACCTCACATCACAATGGAGACTCCACCTAAAAGTTCATTCTCTGAGAATTTCCCATGAAGGTTGGAGGCCCTGGCCAGGCGGCTCAGTTGGTTAGAACATTGCCCTGATATGCCAAGGTTGCAGGTTTCATCCCCGGTCAGGGCACACGCAAGGATCAACTAATGAACGCGTAAGTGGAACAATAATCACTCACTAGTCCTCTCCTCTTTTCTTCTCTCTCTCTAAAATCTTTTTTTTTAAGCCAAGATTTTCTGCCCCAGGCAGCTACAAACTTCTTGAATCTCAGGCTCATTTGCCCCAGCGTTCAATAATAATTAACCCACACAGGCACACTCATCTGACTAACTACCTAACTAAAGGACTTGTTAAATAGTAAACACCAAAACCGAAACTGTAACTTGGGACCAATGGGTAGAGAGCTGAAACCAAATGTTTGCTCTCCCAAGAAGGCCTTCTACTTGGTTTCTGTCAAAATCCTTCCCGTGTCAAATTCCTCCGTTAAACTCCTGAAGTTCCACTTGGTAGGCAGTACTCAGTAGGTGAAGAGCTATCATTAGCGTGTTTTGAATGTGCTTCCCCCGCCCCATCCTCTCTCAACAGGAAGCTAGCAGAAGTCACAATCACATCTTACCTTTAGAAGAACACCTTGTCCAGAGTAAACATTTATGGCTGTTTGGGTGAATTAAACACCAAGGACTGGGGCCCACAGAGTTCATCAGAGGTGCGAGGCTGAAATTCAAGAGAAGTGATCAGGGACACAGAGAGCACAGACAAGCCCAAAGAACTGACTGTTTATCCCATGGGGCCTTGCTTTGTTCAGGAAAGGAGATGGCTTGTGGGATGTTCTCCGTGTCCATTTCTCCATTCAGAAACCATGCTCCATACTCCAAAAGGGAAGACCCAGGTGAGAAGCTGGCTTCTGGCAGGCAACCTCACATCCGGTGAAATAACTAAAGTGCCCCACAGACAGCCATAGTCAGAGGCCCAGGCATTTCCCAGGCGAACATGTCTGCTTAATAACAATGTAGCAGATGTGATAAGAGCACCAATCACCGAGAGAGCTGGTTTGACCCTGGTTAAAAGTTGATGATAATTACCAGACTAAACAAATCATTAGAAATATGTTCCCAACTTCAATCTGGATTTTTAAATACTTAAGAGTAACTTGGAAACTGAGCATCACTTTAACAAGCTCCAGGATAACTAGTACCAAATGATTTAGCTACAGCTGTCCTTTGAAAAGATTTTTTATTTTTTATTTTTGGCATGTCAGAGAAGATAAAATTTGAGAAGAGTACAGATGGAATTTCTCTGGAGTATCCATGAGTTATTTGGAGAATATAAATGATAGGAAGTCTATTTACCAATATTCTTTAGACACTCTTAGTCTGCAAATATGTGGACACAATTCAGACATCATAGGAGATAAATAATTGTAAATATTTTAAAGGACTTTTTCATTTTACAAGCAAAGCAAAAAGATATTTACTGAAAAAAAAAAAAGAAAATCAACCTATTCCTCTTTTTGTTCAATATCCAAAAATGCATCCATAAAATAGGAAGCAATTTTCCTAGATCTCGGTAGCAATAATTTGTAGTTAAGTCTGTTCATTAAACAAGTCTATACTCTCAACCCTCCTAAAAAGTGGTGGGGAGTAAAATTAAATAAATAGAAAAGTTTTCCAAGATCAGGTGGTGTTTCAATCATCAAAGAGATATAACTATTTTTTCACAAAGAATATTTCACTCTGAGACTTCCATTCTTGTCCTCTCCATAACCTGTACAGTGTGTTTTTCCTAATGTCATTTTTCCTGGCTGAGAAACACATTAACAAGAATAGAGTTTTCAAAAAAAAAAAAGTGGAGGTGGGGAGAGCATGAGTGTTATGTCACAAGTAACTTCAAATGGAAGAAAAATACCAATTCCACATTTCATCCTGCACAGAGAATGGAAAGTTAAAGGTCATGTTCACCGACTGTCCTTTTGTGCCCACGGTCAACCAGGGTTTCTGTGTTTGCTCAGCCGAGCACTCATCCAGCTAAGAAATCGTTCCTTCACAGAAAAGGACGACCATTCCAACACAAAGGGAAGCAGTGTGAATTCTTTATCTTTTGCCATGCTGGCTCTCACGAAAACTGGCAATGTTGACTGTACTGTCGGTTCTTTCTCCTAAGGACTATTTGGTGTACTTGAATAAACCCTCCTTTATGCTGACACATATGCATAGATTCTTCCCATTTGCCGGTGGTTTTAGTTACGGATTTATTTTCCAGCTTGACTGAGGTATGATTGACCAAAAAATGTACACATTTAAGGTGTACAATGTGATGTTTTATACATCTGCATTGCGAGCTGTTTATCACAATCGAGCTAATGGACACATCCATCACCTTTTACATTGTTACCATGTTTTGCAGGCGGCGCGAACACAAAGTGCACTCCCTGAGCAGATCCCAAGTGTGTAGCATGTTACCATCAATGGTAGTTGCCAATCAACATATTAGAGCTCCAGGACTTAGTCATCTTCTATTTGCAGCTCCAATTTAGAGTTTTTTGCATCTTGCTAATCAATATCGATGTGTTATTAGTGTTAGAATTCATGATAATGTATGAAATACTTTCATCAGCTGAAAGAAGGAGGCTACACAAGATTTTGCCAGTTGCTGGAGGCACATTACTTCTTTCTCACAAGCTGTAGGCCTTAAGTAAACCTCTCTTATTCAGATCCAGTGACTCAGTTCTGATGATATCTAATTCCACGACTAGTGTTACAGCAGTACCCACTGTTGCTGATACACAATAAATGATCCAGAAAACATTTTCTCCCCTTAGCAAATCACTTGTAACTCCTAGCAACACTGGCCAAGAAATAAACTCCCCCATCTCATGTGCCCAGGGGCCAAAAGAATTCAGGGTGGGCCTGATGGAAATTACATCCCAAACAAGAAGTGTAATATTCTCAGCCTCCTCGGGCTCCTTTTGCGCTGGTTTACATGGGAACCTGTGTTTGTAATGGAGTTTTGTGTTAATCAGCTCCAGATAGAGACCTTCTCGCCTGTGCTTTCCCAATCCCACATAACTCTTTTTCCTAACATTTATCCAAGTAATATTTTATGCCTCGATATAATTTTTTATTGATTTCAGTCTTTTCCCCTTGATTTCAAGTACTATGAAGGTAGAGATAATGTTTGTGTGTTGTTGTTATGGAGGGGTTTTTGTTTGTCTTTGGTTTTGATGTGTTGTTTGCTTGTTTGTTTGGGTTTTTTGGTTGGTTGATTGGTTGGTTGGTCGGTTGGTTGGTTGGTTTTGGTTTTGATTTGCTTATGTTTTCTCACGTTGTATCGCTATTATATCTGACAAGGCTCTAGAACATGGTAGCTGTTTAAAAATATCTGTTCAATTAAATTAATTAAGTTTTAATGTTCTCTTAGGATTTCTGAGATGACACTCTATCACAATACTCATTTGAGCTCCTCCTTCTCCTTTTCAGGTCCCTCTGCCTTACAGCAGAACAATTTTGGTGAGTCTAACATATTTCCACACACTGCGTTTGTCAGCACACCCCCACCCACAGCAGCCTCCTCCAACACTGCGACTGCCGCAGTCCTTGTCTCTGGATAAAGAAACCCCATCCCTCCTACCTCTTCTCTGGCTCCATGGTTTGAATTGTTCTTACATGTTAGGCGTTCTTCCCTATACCAACCTTGTGCTGTGGAAGAAACTACGTGGGATAAATCACTCTTTGACCTGTGCAACTAAATCTTCAAGGCTGTTTTCACTTTTCCAAAAAGGAAAGCTTATGCAATCTCTAAAATATAGCAAATGACTCTGTCAGTCTTCTTCTTACGTGGCTATGTTACTGGCTAAAGGTGAGAAAACACTGGTGAAGACTCATGGATCCTCAACTAGCTTAAAGCAGAGAGTACACACATGAGCCACAGCTGCAGTGGAATGACACAGTTGCTATTAGGAAGTCGTATCTGTAGTGTTGTGAGATGCTAGAAAGAGACACACTCAGATCTGCCACAGGGCCAGATCTGCCACAAGGGATTAGGGGGAAAGTCACCAGAGCGAAAAAGAATTTTTAAATGGTGACTTGAGTGTTAAGTGTGCACTTGCTGGGCGGAAGAGAAAGGGTGCCCTGGGCATGGAAAGCAGCGTATAAGCAATAATAGTGAGGAGAGTCCGCTCAGCTAACACAAGTAGCTCAGCTGTGTATGCATGTTTGTGTGCACCCACGTGCAAGAGCTTTAGTGGAGGTGTTAGGGGATTAAATATTGACAGATGAGTGTATACAGGTTCACAGAGTTCAGCAAAATGAGTTTTACTCTAACCTGTGGGTGATCAAAGGTCTTTTCATACCTAGCAGTGAGAATGATTTCTGATGGAAAGGGAGCTGGTGAGTGGAGACTAAGACTCAAAGCAGGGAGAATGATGTAACCGCTGAGGTAAGAGATGACACAAATTGGTGAGTTATTATTACAACAGAGCCCGAGGAGAAGTTTTTAAGAGGAATATTAAGCAGGAGTCGGTGATAGATTAAATGGATGTGGGGTGTAAGGTAGAGGGGGGCCACTGGGGTAAGGGCCAGGGTTACAGGGAAGATGCTAGAAGAGTAAAATTGAGGTAAGAGGACAAATTCAGTAATGGGACAACAGGTGGAGAGAACCACGTAGGAACAGAATGCTTTTCTTAGGAGCTCAACAGAGGGCTGTAGCTGAAAAAAAAAATGGAAATTTATCAGCAGCTGAGTGCAGACAACGGTGTAGAAAAAGGGTAAAATTACCTTTGTGCCGTGACAAGAAAAGAGAACTAAGAATAAAATGCTGATGAATCCCAATATTTAAGCTAAGGACAGAGGAAGAAGAGCCACAAAGAACACTGAGAAGTGGCCAGAGAAATAGAAAAGAATTTATGCAAAAGGGGAAGTTAGAAGAGAAAGTGGTAAACAATATGAATGTCATGAAGCCAGTCAGTTAAGAAGAAAACCCAAAATTTCCCTTTGGCCATAATACCTTGGAGGGCATTGATGAGGTCGCTGAAAAATTGTCAGCAGTGTGGTGAAGTGCACTGACTCATCATGTGTATAGAAGAGCAGGGAAGGGGCCATCTAGACGGTAGCGACATGGGGAAACTGAGTCTGGGAAGAGTTTCATCTTAAAGGTGAAAAAAGAAAATTTTATCAAGACTGAAGATAGCATCAATGGAATATAAGAAGTAGAAGATACAGAAAAGAATGGATAATTTTTGAACCCAAGTCTCCTGGGGGGATGGGAGGGTACAGAAAAAAATATAGTAAAAAGAAGAAGACAGAGGGTGGTATTAACTGGGATAGTGATGGACGGATCTTCGCTAACAAAGCAAACAAAGGGGAAAGTGCTGATGAGTGTCAAGAAGAGGAGCTAAAAAGTTAAAAGCATTCCTTCCATCAGCCTTTACTTTCTGGTGAAATGAGAAACAAAGGTAGTAAGGAACTGGATCGGTCAAGGCTTCAAATGACTGTTGAGAAACAAGGGCTCAGAAGAGGGCTGTTTTGAGTTCACAGCTCCTGACACTAGCTGACCCTGAAGCAGTGTGATGCATCCAGCCTCCAGAGGTATGAAATGCAGGCTCTGGCGGGGCCAGAGGAGGGCAGGGCCTGGCTCCATCCGTGCAGGAGGGGCAGGCAGGGACATGCCCACAGAGGGTGCACCTGAACAGGTAAGACGTAGGCAGCACTATGAGCAGAAGAAACAGCCCAGGAATAGGAGGTTCTAAAGCATTTCTGAAAGTGCCTTATTTCTTATATTTTTACTTCTGCCACAACTATGGATGCTCCTTATTGAGGCTCGGATTTTATTTGACATCGCACTAGAGAGCAAGCCACGCAGTTTGTGCTTCCAGGAAACGTTTCTTCTGGGAAAGTATGACAGGCATCTGTGTGCTCAGGGCTGCCCTGGCTCGGCCACATGCTGGCTGCATCCAAAGTCAAGTGGATTTTCAATCATTTGTCTGAAGCAGGGATATATTTATGTGAAATCTCCAATAGTTTATTTATCTAATAAGATACACATATTGCTCTTACTATGTATGTGTCCCCACCCTTCTGGGTCTTAACTTAGAGTGCTTTTTAAATATTAATTATATCCTCAGAACAACCATCTGAACTAAATACTGTCATTATCTCCAACTTTGCAGCTGAGGAAGCTCAACCTTGAAGTATGAGGTCTGTTTACAGACCTGAAGCCAATAAGAAGCATCGGGGAGACTCGAACCTGGCACGTTGATCTCTAAAGTGTAGGTTCTGCCATGGCTGAGTGACTCGGTTGGGGTGTTGTCCCATACACCAAAAGATTGCAGGTTTGATCCCTAGTCAGCGCGGGTACAGGAGGCAACTGATTGATGTTTCTCTCCCACTTCAACATTTCTCTCTACTTCCTCCTGCTCTCCTCCTCCTCACCCTCCTTCTTCTCTCCTTACCCTTTGTCTTCTCTGTTTAAAATCAATAAACATACCCTCAGGTAAGGACTTTAAAAAAAGGAATTTAACGTGTGGGTTCTCACCCACTGTATCAAGCTACCTTATAATGACTATTTAAGAAATCATAGTGTTCCGTGGAGGAATTTTCTAGATAATCCACTCCTTTTTCATCACATTGTAAAATTTTAGTAAGGTGGGCAACCAACAATTTCAATTTTGTTGTCTTCCTTAAAGACTATACACTGGGAAGTTGTGCCCCATAAAAGTGGCTATTTTTTTGTGTCAGAAAATGTTTTCTCCTTCTCTGAAATATCATCCACATCTTTGATTGCACAGTGAGTCATGGGATACTCGTGGGTTCCCTGGCTCTCGGCCTCACTTCAGCTCCCTCTGTCTCCAGTGCAGGTGTCCGTGAAGTCGGTCAGAGTGACCTCTGTTTGTTTTGGATGGGTTTTAGAATTAATAAAAATAGTCTACTCTTAGCCAGCATTCTACTTGGCAAAGTCACACACGTATCAAGCCTGCTTAGATACGTATGTCTTTAGTGAACTTGATTTCCCTTTTCCTTAGCCAGTTACACATCTGTGTTTGCATTAATTGTCATGGATCTAATTGCCCATTGCCATATATGTGTGTGTGTGTTTGTGTCTGGAAATGATTTCAAAATTCAAACACACGGGGTTCTGGGGTTGTTGTTTTTTTTAGCTAATAACATACCCTTTCTTCAACAGAGATGCTTGCTTGGTTTTTAAAGAAAAGGTTGTGGGATTTGGGAAGATTTATATTTTGATCATTGAGCCAAATTCTGACCACATTTTTTAAATGGAGACACCTTTGACCAAAAGATAAAGTGAACCTGTACCCTTTGGATTTGAAGTCTAAACATAAGGATAATGTGTGAATGTGCCAATTATTTCCTGCTTCTGATTTAGCTACTTTTTTTCTGTTAGGTATAAAGAGACACACAGCTCTGTCTCCTAGTAATTAACAGGAAAGAAAAGATGGATTTTTAATACAAATAAAATTTTAGAATGACATCACAAGTAAAATGCAAATGTCAGTTTGATAATGGAGTAATTAAAGTTTCATAAATAAGACATTTTGACTTGGCATATAATTGAGATATCTTCTACTATATTGGAATAATTTTAAAATTTTAAATGAAAGCTGAATAGTGAAATATAAAACCCCAGGTGCAAAAACTTTTAGCATCCTCATTGCAGGAGACAGGACAGCCTGCCTGAAGAATAACATGGGACTCTAAGCAATTCTGAGTCCTACCTTTCATACCAGATCTGTTATTTATGCTCTGGATGGCATTTTTTCAAGGATTCATGACCTAGAATATAGGTGAGAATCTCATCAGTAATGAATAATGGCTTATATGAATGCAGAAACTTATTTTTAGCAAAATCATTCCTTCATTGCAATTTATTTGTTGAACATCTACTATAGGCTTGGTACTGAGTTAGGTAACAGAGAAACATGATCTTTACTCCCACCAAGTTTCCAATGTACCAAGAAAGATAATAATAACACGCAATTTTAAATGTGGAAGGATGACATGATCACTGGCCTATAGCGACCGCGGAATGCTGCAGATGGCTCATTGAAACACGAAAAAAACACACAGAGACAATCAGGTACTGTAGGGGAATATGGATGGAACGGCCTCTCTCTCTAGTGGAAAGTACCTCGGCCACTCTCCCTAGGGGAGAGTGCCCTGTTCTCCCGCCTGAACAGGCTTTTATTGGGTTCATTTACACAGGAATTCAGGTAAAACTCATTAATCATTGCCAGGAAGTAAGGATCAAACAATAGATAACAAGGAAGTCTGAGGGCCTATTTTGAGTCAGGGTCAGATAGCTAAAGAGCTGTAAAACTGAGGAACAAACTTACTTCTTGCTTGGACCCTTATCAGTTAATTGAGAGCATTCTAAACAAAGCAGGTTTCACAAGATTTTACATATTCTTTATTAGGCCTGATCGCCAGGGAACCCGCCCTCTCCAGCACAGGGTTGTACCACCCTCTGTCATTGTTTCAGGCTTGGGTGGAGCAAGGGAAGTAAGGCAGCCAAGAGATTAGGAGATTTTCTCACAAACAATGAGGACTCAGGCTTTCTCAAAGCTGAGGGGCGAGGGTCCATCACCCCCTTTTGCTGTAGCCCCCAAAGTCCTTCCTTGGTCCTTCCTGTTTTAGGTCATTCCCCCCTTGGGGAATCTTACCCATCAATGGCTAACCGACCAAGCATTAGGGGCCAGGCAGGGTGAAGTAAAAGGAGCAGAAGTGGCGCTCCTGCCAAGGAGATAACCTTTTGTCTCCTTGGTGGCTTATGGTCCAAGGTCATTCCCTCAGCCTTAGCCTTAGCAGGGGTTACAGCTTCTGATACCAGGCAGGGTGGTTCCCAACAGAAGAGCTAACTACAAATTGCCACAGCAGCCAGTACAAAGGGGGACTTAGTCTTAGGGCACATAATAGACTCTGTATGCTTTTAAAGATGATTTCCAAACTATATGTGTGTGTGTGTGTGTGTGCGTGTGTGTGCGTGTGTGTGCTAAAAAGCTGTATACCAGCCTAATTTTAGCCATAAATTTCAGCATTCATTACATTCTATGTGTATACATTTCTACTCCACTGAACATACTTCTTAACTCTGATTGCAAATTAGAAACACGTGAAGAACTTTAGAAGCACACTAGCATTTAGGTCCAAGTCCACAGATACTCTGATTTAAGTAGTCTGCAGGGGGAGGGCTCAGGCAGGAATATTGTTTAAAGCCTCCAACTGGTTCAACCACACATCCATGATCAAGGACCACCACTCTGAGGTCGAGACACCTGCTTGACCTATGCTTATGCCCAATTGCAGGCTCTGGGAGCTGCACAGATTCGGAGTACAACAGTTTATAAGTTGGATGAAACTGATCTGATGAGCCCTAGGAATGCATTGCAAACCACTCCTTTTTATTGTCTTTTTTATTTTATTTAATTTTAATTTTTCTATCCCCCCCATGCCCTCTTCCACCTCTACCTGTCCCCCTTCCTCCCAGTCACCACACTGTTGTCCATGTGCATGAGTTCTTTCTCTTTTTTTTTTCCTATTTTTTACAAGCCACTTCTTAGGTAAAGAAAATCTTGCTATTATGTGTCCTTGCACTTCTCTGATAACAATAGAAACATGATGAAGACATCCATACAATCTGGAGAATCGTTTTCCTGCTCTCTCAGGGAGAGCAAGAAAGATTACAAGCTTATCATTAAATAATTACAAAGAGTTTGGGTTAAGACATATTCATATTCACCCACGGCTTATGTAGTTCACGTGATTCTCAATGTTCTTGACATCTCTTCCCATCAACCTCACGAGTCCAATTTGCTCAACATCAGCCTGCAGGACGTACCCTGCCTCTGCAACTTGACAATGCTTTTCACCCTGCCATTTCAATCAGCGCTTCACGCCAGCCCTAAAGACAAAATATCCAGTCAGCGGAATTCTGGGAAGGATTCAACTGATTGAACTGTCCAGATATTTTGGCTGGGAAACAACAATCTGAGGCTTCCCCCATAAACACAAATATCCATGGAAACCAAACCAGGAGTCAGTGTATATCCACTTAATTTTAGGTCCAGCGAACCTCATGGGACCCTCCCTGAGTGAGTCTGGGTTCTTGGCATCCAAGCCAGTGCTTCTCCCCATCGCTGGCTATCACTTGAGCTGTTATTTTAACCAAGCCCAGGTAGCACTTGCCTTGAACAGACTCCAAGGGGTTTTCTGGGGAAAACTCATGTCTGTGGAACTGTCTGCTCACCCAGACTGCAGAAACCCTTTGTCTACCCAGACAGGGAAACACATATGCAACACTGCACTGTTATTATTATTAAATTCATTGACTGTTACTTTATTTTTTTTTTAGGTACAGCTGCACTCTTCACGGACTACAATCTATCTGCCCCTTGAAATTGTACCTGTGATTTTTATGACTGTCTTAAAGACATCGGTGATTTATATCTTATTCAAATATAAGTTAACCTTTGTGTTTCTTAACTGAGTGTTATGAAATATAAAAAAAATGTTTTTTACTGTGAAAATTTACTCTCTAACTTACCTGATTGTAAATTTAGATTTGGGCATATCAAGTCTTTCATTATTTAATGGAAAGGAAAGTGCATGTATGACTTCAAATAAATAATGTAGAGCATTACTAGAAGTGAAATAGAACTTTGCCTTCTAAACAGTCACACCTTTCTTTGCTTGCCTATTGTATTAGGAGGCATTTGATGCAGGACAGAGAGACCACTCTATGTATCTTCAGTGGGGACAGATTTAAAGCAGGGAATTTAGTGCTTATAAAATCAGTGAAAAGGTTCAAGCAATGGTTTCTAGGGTTGGCCTCCTGGAATGACTTCAAGCTGACCCCAAAAAGGCTGCCACTGGAGCTGCAGCAGAAGGAAGAAGCCCAAAATACTTGTTCCAGCGGCTTCTCCACATCCAAGAAGCTGTAAAATGGGCCTTGGCAGCTGCGATTCCCAGATTGGAAGTCCAGATCAAGATGGCACCACTTCTGTCTCTGCTTCTTGAAACCCTGGGAGCTGAGGAATGGACAGGAAAAAACCGAATTAAGAAGACTTCCTATTTCTGTGACCTTGCTGGCCAAGAGCAATAGCTAAAAGCTTCAGGAGAATGGCTTAAGCTTCATGTCCACCTTCCAAATCTCATGGCAGAGGCAGATTGGCAGATCCTCGCTGCTTCTAAAGCCCAGCTGCAAGGAAGTCTGGAAGATACTGTTAATAGTTTTCCAATCTGTTCAACCAAAGGAAAGGTAGACAATGTGAATATATATGACGCAGATATAAACAACAGAGATTAGATACTATCTATTGCTTTGTTTATACATTGAAGTTGAATACAAGTAGAAGGTTACAAATTCTGATGAACCAGAGTCTCCCTGATTCATCAGTTTTGGAGGAAAATCAAGAGTATGTACTATACTAATATTAGCTAAGGCTTCAACTCCCATGTCTTCAAGATGACAGTCAAAGATCGCCCTTAACTGGAAGCCCTAGGTCTCCAAATACTTGACTTTTCTACAGTTCACCTTGACTGAGATATCGAATTTTTGCCATGAAGCTGCATAAATTCAGTCTCCAGAAGTATAGTGTTCTGTAGAATGACCAGAAATTCCCACTCAGTTAAGGAACACAAGATGAAATTGCCTTTTAACATGTCCATTCTTCTGAATGCATTTCACCCATAATAATAATAATTGATGCCTCAAAGTAAATAAAGTATTTTATGATGTGGCTTAGTGGTTTTATTCATACTTCTTCAGGAAGTCAAGAGACCACAACACAAGTCGGAAAAAAAATTAGCTTCTGTTTTTTATTAAACATGTATTGCCTCAAGCGAGGACAAGTAAAACAAACAAAAAAAATTGCTGCTAATTCGTATAAGCAGTACTTTGGGGAGCCCTTTAAATAATGAAAATTATGTGGGCAGTGGCAAAGAATAAAAGAAATTAAACACAAGTGCTTGATTTTGAAATGCAGTCAGCAATTGTTTTCATTCATATTCCTTCAGTCTTTCTTATATACCCATGTACCCAGGAGATAAGATGTATCTAGAAAGTTCAGTTTATAAAAGACATTACAGAGGTGGCTAAAATACATTTAAGCTAAAACAATTATCTTAAATTATAAAAAAATTATTTATCTGATAGAAATTCAATAGTGCAAGCCTTATTAACAAAATTGTATGGCTATATGTTATGGTTTCATCTTTAAAACCTCTTTTTTAAATTAAGATAAGCATTTCTTACATGTTGCAAGTTAATTCAATGATGAATCTGTGATCTCTTGAACCCACTTGCTTCTGAATTTTTATCTTCGACTCTCCCAGCATCTGAATCTGCAAACAGAGGACACATCGAGCCTGCAACATTATGCATACAGTGACATTTCTTATATTTTTCATTAAGAAAATTTAAGTGTGTCATAAATGAAGTAATTTACTAAACATGGATAAAATGCACATAGAATGTTGCTGAGGATGAACATTTCAGTTGTCAAAATAATATTATTTTCAGGCATATGGTATAAATAATCATGTTTTCATGGCATGCACACACAAAATCTGAAAACATTGGCAAATATTTCAACATTTAGTTCACAAAATACCAAGCATGTCCATATATAAACATATCTGTATATTTGTGCTTTTAGTTTCCATCTGGAAGTTTTCTGGAAAAACATATTAGTTTTTGTATGTTCACAGTTATAGATAATAATTGATAATAATACTCACCCTTTAAGCATAATTTTCAAGGTAAGAACTTGGGAAAATGTGTTTAGTCTGTTGCAGTTGAGTATATTTCAAAAGAAGAAGATTTGGGAAATACACTTCAAAATTCATCAGTTCTTCAAGTTCAATCAGATCACAGAGTTTATCGTAGCCAAAAACAAAGTATTAAGGCCACTGATTTTATCTTATGTTTTATGATATAAGTAGGGAGAAAATTCAACTAAACATATAACATTAAGAGGTGGATGATTACCCCTCCACTTCTTCCATGTGAAGGGAGCGCCATTAATGTGCCAAACAGCCAGGAGTCTTTGCTGTGCCTCCTTCAGTCCTCAAAAGGGCAGCAGGCTTCATCTGAGTGTTAAGTTTGGAAGGTGAAACTAGACCTCTTCTTCCTGGTCCCTCTGTCTCAGAGGTGTGAAGCCTGCAAGAAGCATGCATACTCGTCTGTGCCCTTTTGCTCTGTTTCAAAGGGTCATCTTTTGTCTTCTCAACTGGTTCAAGATTTAGGCAGCTTAATAAGATTCTACTTATTGGGCTTCTCTTTAACCTCAACTTAAGGTTTAATTTTTAATTGTCTAAAGAAGGGTCTGAGGCTACCAAGAAGCTTTAAGTTCATCAAAACATTGATGATTTCCCTTGTCTTGACCCATGTGGATCAGTTGGTTGGGTGTCATCCCTGCAAAGTGAAAGGTCTCTGGTTTGATTCCCAATCAGGGCACTTGCCTGGGTTGCAGGTTCTGTCCCCACTCGGGGCATGTGCAAGTGGGAACCAATCTAAGTCTCTCTTTCTCACCAATATTTCTTTCTCCCTCTCTCTCCCTCCCTTCTCTCTCTAAAAATAAATGAATAAAATCTTTTTTTTAATTACGATTTTCCAAATTGACATACATTTGTCAAAAAAAAAAAAGAACTTTAAAAGGCATCCTGTGCTGATAGTTTTTACATGGTCTTTTTTCTTTCTTATGATGAAATCCAGGTGGGAAACAATCAATCTATATCTTTTTCTTTATGCTACATCATGAAAATATGTCTTTTGTTTCAAAACTGTTATCAAAATCAGAAGACACAGGTAACACATTTACTATAGTCCTGTGTTGTTGTCTAATAAAAAATGGATGGGAGATTCATGCATATGGCTTTTAAATTTCAGAATGGTTGCTTTCTTCTATCATCTGAATGTTTGTTTCCTCAAAATTCTGAATCCATAGTTGAAGGTATTAACTGGTAGGACATTTGGGAGGTGAGTAGGTCGTGTGGGTACAGCCTTCATGAATGGGAATGGTGCCCTTGCAAAAGAAATCTCACAGAGCTTCCTAGCCCTTTCCCACCATTTGAGGATATGAGAAGTCTACAGCCCAGAATTGGACCCTAACCCAAACATGCTGGTACCCTGATCTTGAACTCCCAGTGTGCAGAACTTTGAGAAATAAATTTGTCTTGTTTATCAGCCACTAGTCTATAATATTTTGTTATAGCAGTGTTAATGGACTAAGACACTTAAATGGTAGAATTTCATAAACAATTAATGAAGGCTTATTTTGTTAATTATGTGAAGATTTGTTTTAGTTGTACTTTCTAGTACCATTTTCATGCAAAACAAGTTGAAATACAAAATTAGAAATGTCCAGTTAATGTGATAAATGTAGACCACCAACCTTATTAATTCAGGCCAAAAAAGTAAATATCTGAGTTGAATAAATGAGTAAACGGTCAACAAATTTCCAATGTGTTTTATATTATGTAGATGTAGACTAGCAGTTTACACTGGTTTTTCCTACTCTTCTTGCTCATAAAATAAATAGAGAAATTTGTCTAACTACCAAAGCCAAGATGAAAGCTGCTTAAATTAATAACATCTGTTTATATTTCTCATAATTAGTGCACTGTGGATGCAGGCCTATCAACCCACACTTCACAACCACACCAACCAAGGCTCATGTGGCACACGCATGTGGAATTTGGGGGCAATCTACATGCTTTCCATTCCATATCATCTTCAAGGTCAAAGGGACACTCCATATAAATGAAAATTTTAAAATTTGCAAACTGAAAATTTTAAAAATGTATGTTGCTCCATCCTCACAGTTAAAAATAAAGAAATATTCATTGGATAAAGAATGGAAATTCATGAAATCTGAAAGGTTCAGTGTCTATATGCCTTGGGAATGCAATGTTTCACTGTATTTTCTTGGAATGTCTGGACTACATGATTTTTTTACCTGAAAAATAGGAGCATAAGGGAGTGTTCATAACATCTTGAGTCACTGAAAACCAATTTCAACAGTCACTCTCTATGTGCTTTTCTGATATTCATCTATTCACTCACACATTCATTCACAAAATGGCACTATTCATGAAGCTATGATGAACAACACAAAATTTCTAATCTCAACTTTTATTCTTTCTGGGGAAAGCATAAAAGCAAAATGATAAGTCTCATTGAGTTTAAAAAGTGATATAAAAGAAGTACATGTACAGGGAATTACAGAAGCATAAGGAAAGGTAGGTACCTCACTCATTTAGTAGTCGGGGATGGAGGAAGGAGGTAACGCCTGACTTTGACTTTGGAGGATAAGTAGAATAAGTAGGAATGAGTAAGGCATGTGGGAAAGTCATCATTACATGCAGTGACAATAGTGTGAACAAAAGCACAAAGGAGTAAGAAGTGTATTTGAAGAACTGCAAATAGTCAACATGAATGGGAAGATTGGCAAGAAGAGTTGATCTTGAAAATGTAAGCAGGGAATGACACCTTATATGCCAAGAAGTTTGGGCTTTATTCTGAAGGTAATTTGAAGCCAGTAGTCAACAGATTTTGACAATGGACTAGAAGTGTAATTTGAAAGGGTATGGGTATAGGGTGACTAACAGCCTCATCGATGGCAAACTGGGCAGACAGCAGCCCCTTTAAGTGAGACTGAGATACAGAGACAGAAACTTGGTAGGTACATTTCAAATAAAGGCAACCAAAAAGTAAACACAAAAGCAAGAAATTTAAATATTATGAAATAAGGGAAGAGAAAGCTCTCTTGGAAGAGATGTTTAAGAAGAAACCTAAGTATGAGAATGGAGTAGTGATTTCAAAGTGAGAAAAGAGCGCAAGCATAT